ACTATTAGCTTTATAAACGCAAACACTACTAATGCTGTTTGTGGAGACAATAGCGCGAAAGCGATAGCAAGCTCCACGGACGACATTAGCGTAATATTAGCACCTTGTCTGTTCTTTTTAGCTACACTGCTGAACTGGTTTAATAAATTAGAATAAGTATATTTTGTCTCACTCTAACATATTTCATCAGTTCAAAAGTGCAGCTAAAAAACAAACCAATTACTGGGTTATGCCGTCGTTTTACGTCTTTTTTTACTCTTCGTCGAGTAATGGCTTCTGTCTACAGGACGCGGCAACACTTGTCGCACGGCAGAAGTTTGCGTGGTAGTTAATAAACTTGTAGTTCTTACCGAAAAACGGCATGTTGATTGGTTACTGCTCGAACTTCCGCCACGCGGCAAACGTTACCGTGTCCTGTGGGCAGAAGCCATTAAGTTATTAGCTTTATTTCCACGCAACTGTCCATTACGTAAAGTAATAATAGTAAAATAATGAATACAATGTACTTTTATTGTACGATATTCATGTGCGGAAGTTGACATATAATGTTGTGCAATTAATGTTTGCGTTAAATAGCGTTAATGTTTACAAGCTCCGTGAACACCCAGAACTGCACAACATTGTATGTCATAACCAATGTTTGCCTTAGATGATTTCAGATTCATCTAAATGAAGGTGAGATAAAAATTTGAAAATTTTATTTCCGATGATGATTTTGCTTTTAATTTATCTAGATGAAAGATAAGGTAAATGATGCTACTTATCTAGATAAGTTTTTAAATGATATTGTTTCCATAAAAGACTTTATAAAAATGGTATAATGAAAATTACGCAGATCGGAAAATTATATAACGGTTAAGTAATTCGTCAACATAATCGCTCCAACTTTAAAGATCTAGCAAAAAAAAACCAATAATTATTGACTGCTCATTAATCTCTGTGTTTTCTAAATGCAGTCATTTGAAGTTTATTCGTTTTGTTTACACTTTTACACTAAATATACACTAACTCATTCGTTTTGCCAAAAGTATAGCAAGAACCTCTGTTCGTTTGACGAGTGTAACTGTACTTATGGCAACACTTTTTACATTTGGCCTTGAGGTATGTAAAAAGAATAATGAGTGTAAAATTAGTGTAAGATACGAGATCTGAGGCTGTTTGTGTTGTTTGCACTTTAGACACTTTTACACTTAATGCCTGTTTCACATTGACCTCTCTTTAAAAGGAAGAGTTGTCATTGGATATCGCTCATCGTATTTGGTGTGCAACGGACATTAGATGCAAAAATGTCAAATGTGCAAGCAACGCGAACAGAAGTTTGCGCACGCTGCATGTAGATATAACCTTTTTTATTTATTATAATGAAAACTTTTTTGAAACCTTCTTTGATTATTTTTGTTTTGTAAATTAATGGTATAATAGTATAAATTATAATTTTATCATGTGAATAAAATAGTATAATAGTATAAATTATGACATTTTTCATTAACCCTTTGCACTCGAGGGCTCCGGAACGGAGCCATTTAAAATTTGTCTTCTCTCTCTTCAACTCTTTAAACTCAAATGCAAATAGCAAAAGCAGAATATCCTATACACAATAGTTTTTACGATTTGTCTTTGTCCTTATGTTATAAACTGATAGTTATTTGCATTGTCTGCATAGCGGAGCCCTCGAGTTTGAAGACAAATTTTAAATGGCTCCGCTCCGGAGCCCTTGAATGCAAAGGGTTAAATTACGAGGGCGGTCCGATAAGTACTTAGCCTACAAAAGAAAAACGAAAATTTTGGAAAAGTGGCAATTTATTTCTCAACATAGTCTCCTCCTTTTAGCTCGATACACTTGACCCAGCGATGCTCTAACTTTTTCAACCCATCTGAAAAATACGTTTTCTCGAAGTCTGCAAAGGCCTCCGTGGCGGCGATGACCTCCTCATTCGACTCAAATTTCTGCCCGGCGAGTGACTTTTTCAAGTTTGGAAACAAAAAAGTCGCACGGGGCCAAATCTGGAGAATACGGTGGAAGGGGCAGCAGTTCGTAGTCCAATTCGACCAATTTGGCCGAATAATTATTAATATATTTAATAATTATAATGTCAGTGTATTAGCCCAGATTTACTGTATTTGGTATAGATTACGTTTTTATTGATTTTTAAACAATTTGTGTTTCTTCATAAAAAAATTAATCGACTGTATCGCGTCTATGTTAACTTAAAAGGTTTTCAAATATTAGGCAAATTCACGAAACACGTCAACTTTGAAATGCAATATATCAGCAAAAAGAAAGATATTTGAGCAAACTCAACGGCATTTGAAAGAGCAAAACTGACACTTTAAGATCCCTAAGTGCATTTTTGCAGGGAAAAAAATTCGCGGTACTACATAACCTCGAAATTCGGCAAAAACGGTGTCTTTTGTATTTTTAGGTTAGGATATCTCGAAAACTTGACGTGATAGAGAAATTTTAAGCCCAGATTCAGATTCAGCGCGCCAAAAACCTTCGGAAAAGTATATTAGAGTTTTAGTTTCCAAAAATAAATAAAATTTTGTTGGCCTGTGTAATCTGTATTCGTAATCTGCTATTGTTCTATCAATACAGTCTGCTGACAGAATCTGATAGCAGATTAGTGACAGGAAACGAGCAGAATTTGCAGTATGTTCAATGTGTGCATTTTAGTTTTTAATATATTGAAATGACGAATTCTGCTTGAATTCTGTCGTTAGTTATCAGATCCTGTTGTATCTTTACCAGCAAGATATTTATAAAGTCTGTAAAAGACGCTGCACAAAATCTACTTTTGCATATCTAACTATCTGGATATCAAACAATTATATTCTTTTTATTTTGTTTCTTAGATGGAAGGATATTAAAAACTCCTTATGATGAAATTTATTTTTTATCTGATTTTTTTTTAGCATAACCATTTACTTCAAATAATTAGTTCAAGAAATTTACAAAAAAATTCTTGTCAGAATTTCATATCTTAATCTTGAATATATTTTTTTTAATAAACTAATAAACTAAACTACAAATATATATATATATATATATTTTAGCTTAACCGTTTATTTCAAAAAATTTGTTTATTAAAAAAAATATATTCAAGATTAAGATGTGAAATTCTGACAAGAATTTTTTTAAGATTATTTAGGACGGATTCCATTTAACGTTCGCAACGACGCGAGCTTCGTTTCTCGCTAGATGTTGAATAAAAATAGAATGATGCAGATATATATATATATATATATATATATATATACGAGGTGTGTTCATAAAATAACTGGAATTTTTATATTTCGCGAGTTTGGAGAGTCCGATCGTCAACATTTTTTTTTATTATGTTGGTATACATGCCCCTGAAGTATGATAAAATTTTCAGCTGTATCATTGTTTACTTTGTCTGTGGCAGTCGCTAAGGTCAGACGTGTTTTTATGAGCTCGGCGATTTTCGTTTGTTAAAAGAAATGGATCAAAGAATTTGTATCAAATTTTGCGTAAAAAATGAAATAAAGTGTAACAAAGTGTGTGAAATGTTAACAAAGGCCTATGGTGAGTCTGCTATGAGTAAAACAAGAGTTTACGAGTGGTATAAGCGTTTCCAAGATGGCCGTGAAGACGTTGAAGATGACGAACGCCCCGGACGCCCCAGCACATCAACAACCGATGAAAACGTGGAAAAAGTGAAAGAAATGGTTATGAACGATCGCCGAGTCACAATCAGAGAAGTCGCTGATGATGTTGGCATATCGATTGGCTCATGCCATGAAATTTTTTCGAATGTTTTGGGTATGAGACGGATGGCAGCAAAATTTCACAACAACACTTCATTGCTTGTTCGTGAATTTTTGGCCAAAAACAATACTGTAACGATGCCCCAGCCTCCATATTCACCAGACATGGCTCCGTGTGACATTTTCCTATTTCCAAAAATAAAGAGAACCTTAAAGGGCCGTCGTTTTACAAGCATAGATGACATTAAAAGCGCATCGCTGAAAGAGCTAAGGGCTATCCCAAAGATCGAGTTTGAGAAGTGTTTCGAGGATTGGAAGAAGCGCTGGCACAAGTGCATAATATCTAATGGGGACTATTTTGAAGGCGACAACATTAATGTAGACGAATAAATAAATATTTTTTTCAAAAAACGAAAATTCCCGTTATTTTCTGAACACACCTCGTATATATATATATATATAAACTTGAAGAATCTGAAAATTTCATTTCTTTTATATTATTTATGTTTTCTTATGCCACGTTGAAACATGACAAATACATACTTTTGCGTTCAAGTTGTTCGATACAAAGAATTAAATTGACCTCTACACTATTTACGATCGTTAAGAACCCATTAGAAATTGAGTGTAATAAGTATAAGCAACACGAACAAACCCTTGGTTTGTTCTTTATACAGTTCATCAGTGCATAAAAAAAAAACAGATCAAATGCTAACGTTATGCTAGTGCCGTACGTGGAGCTTGCTATCGCTTTCACGCTATTAGTCTCACGAATAGCATTAGTAGTGTTTGCGTTTATAGCGCTAATAATATCTGCCCGAACACATCCATTGTGGAATGCCCTTTAGGGTGCTTTCACATGCTACGTAATTTGTGTAAGCTTAACTTGCGTCAGCCAATCAAGTCCGCCATGGTAATTGATAATTGGGTAATTGAGACGATTTGATTGGCTGACGCAAATTACGCTTACACAAGTTATGTCGCATAAAGAGATAGTTTTAATTTGCAACTGTTAGAAGTTTACTGATATGAGGTTGGATTATTCTTTTAAATATATAGGAATAATCCAATGTCAGCATAGGAAACTTCCAACAGTTGCAAACGTTCTGCCGAACGCGTTCAGTAGGTCTGTTCGTCTTCGCTGTACCGCTGAACTAGTGCAATAAGTTGAGGTGAGAAAACATACTTGTCTCGCTTCAACTTATTGCACTAGTTCAGCAGTGCAGCGAAAACGAACAGACCTAGTATTGAATTTTCATTGTTGGTATTCGGTTACCAACTTTATAGTATTGAAGAGGAAAACAGCTGCTATGTGACAGCTTCATGTAATCTGTCGTGTCTGGTGGCATTTGATGGTAAAAGATTCGCTTGAATTCACGATAATTTGAATAACATGTGGTAATTATAATTTTATTTTGGACAATATTCTATAATTGTTAAATTCACACGAATTCGTCATATTTTTGAAATAATATTGCAAGTTTCCATGTTGCAAGATTTGTCACAGTTTTTTAATGTAATAAAAAAAATTAATTCAAGATTATGATGTGAAATTCCGACAAGAATTTTTTTAAGATTATTTAGGACGGATTCCATTTAACGTTCGCAACGACGCGAGCGTCATTCTACCTTTGTTTCTTGCTGGATATTGAATAAAAATAGAATGACGCATCATTGTAAGTGTTAAGTGTAACCTGCTCTTATATGCTTTGTTTTCTATATGAGTATATAATAGAGTTTTATATCTTGTGTATATAGTAAAAACATGTGTATATATATATATACATATATATATATATATTAATAAATGTGTAAATATGTACGACATTTGAACTATTTTGTACTTTGTATACCAATATTTATATCTACAGATATTTATCATGCAAGCTCCTCTGTGAGCACTAAAACTATAGAACTACCTTTTTGAGCAAATGCTTTTCTGAAGAAAGGCTATACAATGTTTTCTGCTATTAAAAGATTAGCTGGCAAGTCTGAAGGTATTGGTAATGTGTCTCCTAGACCAGCCCATCAGTCTATGCCAACAAATCTACAAAGAAAATTTGCTAAGGGTGTTCAATACAACAGTAAGTACAAATGCTTATTGTTATAGAATAATATATATTTATTGGTAAATATGTTATAATTTATGCTTTATATACTATTTTTAGTGAAAATAATAGTAAAAGGGGACAGGAATGTAGGAAAAACATGTTTATTTCATAGACTGCAGGGGCAAAAGTTTATCGAAGAATATATACCCACAGAAGAGATACAAGTAGCTAGTATACAGTGGAATTATAAAGCCACAGACGATGTGGTCAAGGTCGAGGTATGGGATGTCGTAGATCGTGGCAAACGTCGCAGGCGCTTAGAGGGCCTGAAAATGGATAATATTCCAACTGCAGAGACTAATGTTATCGAAGAGCCTGCACTAGATGCTGAGTTCCTGGATGTTTACAAGGGTACTAATGGCGTCATCATTGTTATGGACATCACTAAGAGCTGGACATTTGACTACGTTCAAAGAGAACTGCCGAAAATACCAAGCCATATACCTGTTATTGTTCTTGGTAATCATTGTGACATGTCTCATCACAGAACTGTCACTGCAGACCACGTGACATACTTTATAGATTCGTTGCATGAGAGAACTGCACAGGTAATTTTAAATTATTGACATAATTCTGTTGTTATGTTAAAATGCTAAATACTGTTATTATTAGAGAGGAGGAATTTTCTATATCTAGTGGATATCTTTAATTGTGGTTTTATATATTCAGAATCAATGTATTTTTGACAAAAATTTGAATTTACGTTACTTGTTGTAACTTATTAATTTTCGGAATTGAATAATCTCATATATGCCACAATATAATTATAATTTAAGTATATTAAATATATAAAATGTGTATATAAAATGTGTTAAAAATATAACGCCGTTTAATATTTTAAATTTATTTAGAAAAATTTAGAAAACTACAGAAACATCGGTGTAATTACAGAATATAATTAAAGATTTTCAGTGCAATTTATATCGCGATTAATATTGACATTAATAATTAAATTATTGTAAGTTTAATTTCTCAAATTAAAATTAAAATTTTTAATTAAAATTAAGTTTTGTTTATTGTAGATGAATTAAAGTATAGTTGTTTGTAGGTGAGATATGCGGAGTCATCGATGCGAAACGGCTTTGGTCTCAAGTTGCTGCACAAGTTTTTCAATCTACCATTCCTGCAACTGCAGCGCGAAACATTGCTGAAACAACTCGATACTAATGAAGAAGAAACGCGGCTGACCATCCAGGAACTCGATCTCTTTCAGGATAGCGATGATGCGGATTACAACAAGTTTCTGGACAATCTTGTAAATCGACGGAGGGCTCTCGCAGATTCGGTATCTGCTAGTAATCTAGTTTCAAATGTCATTTCGTCGTCCACAAATAGCCATCATCTTACACCACTGACAGGAAGTAGCATAAATGTTACTGGAGAGGTCAGAAGATCGGCCTCAATGCCAGGTCCGATCGGCGGTGGAAATCCTATACCAATGAAAAGTTTAGAGCTCAAGTTGAGTTTACCGAAGAAGGAGAACTTGACGACAAGTACATTAGATAATTCATCTAATGCTGTGAAGTCTGCACATATCATAATATCGTCTTCTGTTGCACAAAATATTGTTTCGAAAATGGGAACAGCTAAATCGACAGAGTCTGTAAACGACAATGGCGAAAGAAGAGACTCGATTAGTCGGCCGCAGTCACTCATGTCAAAGATTTTTGGCCACAAGAAAGAGGATGAGACTGATAAATTGTCACATATCAAGAATCTTACCTTGAGTGTGCCGTTGACTAGCGTGGAGGACTTTGTGCCAGATGACGGAATGTTAGACAGATCATTTTTAGAAGATAATAGCCAAGTTTCGCCGCTAAAGATGCAACAAATGCAACAAGAAGAAGTTGATTCAGAGAGGTAATTATGCACGAGATATGATTTACACCCTAATTGTTCCTACAAAGTACATCTCATGTTTACCATTTATTTCATTGTTATTATCTCATTACACACACACACACACACACATACACACACACATACAATACACTTATTATTATATATATTATTACCGTTATATTATGTTATTTTTTATCATTATTTCAATTATCTAAGTTTGTCCTGTTTATTATTCTATCACTTTATCATTCATATTTATTATGTTATTTTATATATCCATTTTTTGTTTATTACACATAGACTTTTTCAAAAATTTATTAACTTGAAAATAGTCGCACGAAATATAACTTATATAACCTGTTGATTTATTAAGAAAATAATATTTTATTTCTAATCAACAAAACGAAAATGCCAAGAAGAGCGCAACAAGTTAAATTATTATTAAATGTTTTAAAATATTTTCATAATAATATAACATAATATTAAAGAAAGAGCATTTTCTAAAATAATATCTATAAAAGTTCTTTTGCAATTTGCTTCAAAAGCATTAAGAGATTGTTCATTCTCTTTCAAAATTTATAATTAACTTCTAGGTAATACAGCTCACTCACACACACGTTTAAAAATATAGTAAAGAGAATTAAAAACAAATAACAATACAAATAACGATTGATTTAATTTTGAAAATTGGAAATATATGTTCCCTGAATTTTTAATTTTTATAGAATTCTCAATTTATTGTACTATAATAACCATGTATATAAGCTTTTACAGGTTTTACTATGTATTTTTTATTATAATTAAACAAAAAACGTCCTGTTTAGTGACACGGAAACTGGAAACCCTTTAGTAGCCGGTTACGAAGACGACTTATCCTCTATTGAGGAGATAGCATCACCTGTTCAACTAAAACTAGCGGAAAATCCACTGTTTAAACAAAAGTATAAACTGGAAACACTATCAGGTCCAGAGAAAAGCAACGAGAAATTACGACCGAGCGGCAAACGTGACTCAGTCTCCTCAATAGAACAAGAACTGCATATCCCTGACTATGAACCGAATGAACAACCGGATACAAACTCGGACGCTTTTGACAGTTGGTTGCGACGTGATTCTAAATGGCGACAAAGTCCCGAAGGAGGAGAGGACGTGAGCAGTACTAGTACGAGAAAAGACAGGTTGGAACTTAGTGATAAAAGTCTAGATGTCAGCGTGACAAGTTCTAACGTTCACTTGGAGTTACTTGATGATACCAACATGCGCCACGTAAGCTCAAATGGCAGTAGTCCAGTGATGAAGGAGAGAAAGAAGCACAGAGATAAAGTAATTATTCTTTATATGGAGTAATTACAGTAACTTGATATATGATTCCATAGAGAACAGATGAGAAGGGGGAGGGGGGGGGATACATTCTAATTTTATATTTATTTTCCTTTAATATTTTCTTTTTTATCATGAAATGTATTATTATTTTATCACACCAATTCTAGGGAGACGAGAAGGAAAAGAGGAAAAAGAAAAAATCAAAAGACAAGGAGAAAGACAAGGAAAAATCGGAGAAAACGGAAAAAAAGAAAAAACGTTCGATACATCGTTTGAAAGATGAGAACAAAGTACGAGATGAACTCGAGGAATTTTTGAACGGCTCGGTAACAAGAATCGGTGTTGATGTTGCCTATGAAGCGATATAGCATTCCAGAAGGATCATAAAAGTCGTTGATATTTTTTAACGTGTTGACTGTTTCACTGGGTTGTGTAAGTGGGTGCATAAATTTTGCACTGTGCTGTACCAAGTTGTATGAACCAGCGCTGGATTTTTGACTATTAGTCGCAGTACTGTGGGGTTATTGGCAAATATTTTTTAACAGTCAACATGTTAAGAATTGTGCATTTTTCGAAACTTACAAAACTTCTCTTGATGTTAATACATGTTACGTTCTTTTTTCTTTTTGTGAAAAAACGAAATTCTTGGTGGTGAAAGAGAATTTTGCGAAAACATAAAGATATGTTACAGATTGCGCTATCAGCTTATACAAAAGAATATTTCGTTTGTAGTAGATGCATAAGTGTGGCCTGATAAATCCCTTTCTGGAGATCGTAACACTCATGGATCCTGTTTCAGTCTGTCATGATTGCCAAGATTGCAAAGATTTTACGGAAGATACTAAGTTAATAATCAAAATTATTCATATTATATTTCTGATCTATTGAATTTTTTATGGTTTTTAATATATATTTGAAAAACTTGCGAAAATGTTCATTATATGAATTAATATCAAACATAAATATAATTTTTATAGTATGATATGTACATACGTATGTAATGTAATAATTACGTGGAATTTTAATGTCGAAATTATTTATTATACTTTAATTATTACTTGCTCAGATAATTGTGTAAAATTTAGCTACGTATATTCATATACATTTATCGTTGATATCGTTTATATGAATCTTGTTTATTCTATTTAGTTGGACCACTGAACTTTATACTATATTGGGATACTGGGTGCTATGAAAAGAAACGAGCGAAACAAAAGAGAAAAGAAGTCATAGACCGGTATTCATAATTGAATCTTATACAGGATGAGCAAAAGTCTGAATACAGTCGAACATTTCGTAAACGATGCAACTTTGAAAAGAATGTTTTAGATGAAAGTTGTAGGGTTTAGGAAGATCATTTTGATCTTATCAGTTTAATCTTGGGTTGAGGCGTCAAGGTCAAATGAAAATCAACTTCAATGTTTTGAATGGAATCATATAGTTTTTTCAACAGGTTGATTCTTCTGTTCAATCTGTATATAAAAGTATTAAAATAATCATCGAAAGGTGAATACTTTTCGAGATATTTTACTTTTCATCCTTTTTTTCGATAACATCACCTTAACACTTTTTTACATAATAGAATATAAAAGAAATCATTTACTGATATTAATCATTGCACATTGCTGCATCGATACATTTGCAAAATGCATTGATTTTTTTAAAGATTTTTCTGTTTTGGTCACAGCGATCGATTCTATCTTTCATTTTATATATAAAAATGTTAAAGTAATGTTGTTGAAAGATGAAATCATATAGTCCCGTACTTTGTGAGATATTTCATATTTTGTACTGAAAATATCAGAGTAAAAAGCAAAATATCGAAAGGTGTTCACTTTTTAATGATCTTACCCTAGTACTTCTATACGCAAGATGAATAGAGAGATCGATTTGTGTTAAAAATATTATAACCTGGATTTTGAATACGCTTACAAAGATGTTAGCGCGCTAAAAGGTCGGTTTATTAGTAGTTCTAAATAGCAATTTTATTACAAACACGCGTGATTATCGATTTTTTTCTAACAGAACACTGTTATCACCACTTTTAGAATAGTGATATTGAAGATGCTCACATTTTTTGTCATACTAATGCTCTAACATCATAAGCACGTTTAGAATACGGGCCTATATGATTCCATTTAAGAAGCTGGAGTTGAGCTTCATTTGACTTTGACGCTCAGGATTAGGCTGATGAGATTAATAAGTAGATTTTTAAACTCTATAACTTTTATTTAAAATATTTTTTTTCAGGATTGCTCTGGTCGCGAGATATCCGACTATATCCAGATTTTTGGCTTACTCTATATGTAAAACTATTGTAAATTTATCTTCAGATGCTGTATGGCTCATTTCATTGGCTACGAAGATGAACTTAACCTCTTATCCACAATCATGTTTTAAGGTTCCCGAGTAATTGCTGAGACTGTTCTTGTTTAATAACATCAGAAGCGAGAAAACATATGCCACAATTTTTTGCGTTGTATTTTCAAATAAAAAGATCTACCCACAAAATGACATTTGTAATCGATTCAGTAAACTTGTAAAATTGGACGAACACTTTTCTTTTATTCAAACAATCAATAAGTAGTCGAAAAATTAACATTGATAAAATCATGAGAAAAGACGTTAGAAAAAGGTTCCATGTCAAATTAATTTTGCGACTATTTATGTTGTATTGACTATTGATTATTCGAGTAAAAGCAAAGTGTTCATCCAATGTTACAAGTGTGTTGAATTATAATTGTCATTTTATGGATATATCTTTTAATTTGAATGTATAACGCAAAACATCTTGGCATGCATTTTCTCGCTTCTGACACTATTAAACAAGAATAAAGACTCACACAACACACTTTACCCCGAAAATATCCCAATTGTCGCAAATTTACAAATACGATCTCATAGATATCCTAATGTTCTAATGTTCAGGATATTCCAATAGAATATTTCACAATATCCTATTGAAATCTCATAATATCTTGATATATCTCTTTGCTTTAATTGTAATTTATTTTATGATATCGTGTCATCAATAATAATGTAATTTTGACATTACTTTGACCCAGCGAAAAATGTACATCGAATTGATGTTAAATCGGTTTCAAAACAATCGAAATGATATCGAATCGACGTTGATTTAACGTCGATTCGACAAGTCATTTTTCACTGGGGAATATTATTATTAGAATATTAAATATGTTAGTACAAATATGCAGTAATTAAAATATGACCGACATATGACATATGTTTATATGCTACCTGAATATATAATAATATATCTTACAATATTTCTTGAGCTTCATCGGATATCTTTTGAATGTTGCTCAAGATATCCATAGGATATCACATAGGTAAACACTTATATATCTACTGGATATCCAACGAATGTCTGAGACTATTTTAGGATATCCTATGATTATAGCGATATCTCAAAATGATATTTGTAGAAAGTCCTTCAGATAAAATGTACTATATAAGGACAGTTATAGCGACTATTCTGAAGCCTTAAAGTCCGTACCAAATTATGGATTAGGAATTGAGATTGTGGACTGGGAATTGAAGATTGTTCAATCACATTATGATTGCGATTTGGATTGCGATTGAGTTACCTTGAATTCACAAACATAAAAGTGATATATTAAAGAAAAAAACGAATCGAAATATCATTAAACGAAGAAATATTAATATTCTTCTTTTATTATTAACATTAGCAAAAAAAAGGAAAAGAAACGTAGAAAGAACAACGTATGTGTCCAAATAGATATAGAAGGTAAGAAATATATACTATTAAAAATAATCACGTTTCTAATTAGTTTCACTGTAACACGGTCAAGTTATCAATAAATTTTTCGCATGGATAGAAATATACGATCTTTCTTGCATGTGTCATTTATCAATAAGTTTTGCCATATGTATAGAATTTTCCTATTCTTAGTGACATTTGTGCATAGTATTATATTACACTCCATATTAAATCTATTAACATACTTGGCAACTATTGGCACATATTATGAAAATATCAAGAAAATTGAACGAAATCTAAATTCCAACCTGTATTTCCAATCATAGCTTGCAAAATGTTGATTGGTGAGCTCTATATTCCGATCTGATATCCAAATTTATCCTTCAATTTCAATCTATAATTGTGACCGAGTGTCACTAAACAAGTAGATTAAGTCAATGTTAAACCGTCCTCATCGCACAGATCACCTAGAGATTGATTTTTCTCGGACCCGCTGCCAATACATGGTCGTCAGGCCGTTTTTCGAGACCGCCCAAACTCTTGGCCTAGAAAGCTGAACCAGCCAAGTCTCTCCAGATTTGCCGTTAACATGTAGGTAGCTATTTATATTTCTGGCCTTGGCAGCAGTAAGTGTTGCCAGGCGCCATCTGACGTTGTCATTGGAAACTTGACATTGTTGAACATAAGAACATAAGAACACATTGTCATTTGAGCGCGGTTTGTGTTGTTTACAGTGAATTGAAAAATTCATATCGGGCAAAAAATGGAATTAACTCGTGAACATTTTCATGCGATTATTTTTCATAACTTTCGACGTGGATTATCAAGAAAAAAGTGCATCGATGAACTTAATTCTTTATACAACGAGAAAGCACCATCCTATAACACTGTAAAAAAACTGGTATAACGAATTCAATTGTGGCCGACGTTCGCTCCAGGACGAATTCCGTGAAGGTCGTCCAAAATCGGTTGTTGTGACAGAAAATATCGATGCTGTGCGTGAACTGATAAAGCAAGATCGTCATGTGACATACCGTGAGATTGAGGCATCTTTGGGCATTAGTATGACAAGCATCAATAAGATATTGCATGAACATTTGTCCGTAAAAAAATTTGTTCGCGTTGGATCCCGCATAATCTAACAAACGCTCAAAAGAAGACTCGTGTTGATTGGTGCATGGAAATATTGAAAAAATACATTCAAGGTGCATCAAAAGCTGTGTATAACATCTACACAGGTGATGAATCATGGATCTATGCATATGAGCCCGAAAAAAAACAGCAATCGACTGTATAGGTCTTCCAAGACGAGTCAAGTCCAACAAAAGTTGTACGCGGAAGAAGCACATCGAAGCAAATGGTTGCCTGTTTCTTCGGCATTACCGGTCACGTGGCGACAGTGGCATTAGAGCACCGTAGGACGGTCAATTCAGAATGGTACACGACCATTTGTTTGCCAGAAGTCATCGGAGAAATTCGAGAAAAGCAGAAGAAGAAGCGAATCATTCTTCATTATGACAATGCGAGCCCTCACACATCGGGTCAAAAAAGGAATTTTTGACCGGCCAAAACATCGAATTGATGGCCACCGTACAGCCTCGAATTGATCATCTGCCGTACAGCCTTGATTTGGCACCCAATGATTTTTTTTGTTTCCGCACATCAAAAATAAATTACGTGGTCAACAATTTTCGACACCCGAAGAAGCGGTTGATACATTCAAAACGCATGTTTTGCAGTTACCTCAATCGGAATGGAAAAAGTGCTTCGAAAATTGCTTCAAACGCATGCAAAAGTGTATTGATCATCATGGAGAATTTTTTGAAAAACAATAAAACCAATTTCGATCATAAATATTTGTTTTTTCATTATTAGGCCAGAAATATAAGTAGCAACCCTCGTATTCGTAAGTGCGCGAAGGGATTCAATTCCCATCGGTACTGTCGTTTCCGAAGAGATGCTCGTGCCGCAGAATACTTACTTCGGACACTAAGATGATGGTAGGAGAGCTCGACAAATGAAACACGTATCCTTCGAACTAATTTAAAAGAAACTCTATTCAAATGAAAATTCTCGAATAAAGCAAGTGATAACGTGATTGACAAAAAATACGAATTATAAATTCCATAAATTTTATTAAGATGAAATAAGAAAATAAACGGTACTATAAACGGAAATAGAATACGGTGATATAATGAGGAACTTAGAAAACTACGGACTAAACTATATATATGTACATAATCGATATAAAATGACGCGAGTAACCGATAAGGAAATAAAAAAAAATAATATATAGATAATCTAATCGTTTAGTACTACATCCCCTCAGAGGTACGAGATTAAAATGTTTCGCGAACAAGTACGCCGATCAAGAGGGTGACGCAATGCGGCGTCGTTCGCAGTTTTTCTATGAAACCCTATTACAACGTAGGGCTCTTCCCGCAAATACGTCTCGACGCGATCGAACGCGCACAATAAGATGACGCAGTTCGCGTCGGTTAGCGCGTCGAGCTGTCCTTTGATCCTGCCGACGACGTCTTTTCCTTCCGGGCGGAATTTTCCGATTCCGGGCACTCTCGTCGCGATCAGCGTTAATTCACGCGCACGACGTCTTAATTTTTTGACGAGAGGTCTCGATGAAACGGGAAAATTTAAGGGAGCAAACTGTGGCGAATCTTTGGACCACTTACCGTCGCCAAGGCGACCGGTCGTTTCCCCACATCTTCTAGGCCTCCGCTCGCGGGTTGGCACCAGGCCTGGCTGTCCTTCCAGGCGAGGTCTCTCGGCAGCCGTCTCCTGGGGATCCCGTCGTCTTGTTCCACAACGCCGTTCCCGACTTCTCCACTTTACGTCTTGTCTCCTCCAGCGTCCGCTCAGAACAGTCGCACTTGCTTCTTCTATGATTTTGAACGTGATCTCTTTCCGCGATATTACCTCATTCGTCGTTGGCCTCGACCAATCGCTTTCGCCCCTCAGTAGTTCGCGCAGGCGCACGCCCAGCCTTCGCCGGTCTCTTCCAATGTTCTTGCTCGTTGTTGATTCTGGCCAATTGCCTTCAACCTACGTGGGTCTTGCGCACACGCATTTCTTACTTTCGGTTCGGCTGGCGCCAGTCGGTTAAATTAACCTAATTCTCCTAACCTTACTTTATAACCGACTAGATCCAGCCGCTGAGATGGCCTAACCTTACTTTTATGTCGACTGGGGTCCGTGATGTTGCTAACCGGAAATCCCCTTTTCTTTTATCTGATTCCGGTTTCTATTTGAAAAATGACTTTCGCTTTTCATATACTGAGTTTATTAATTTTATTGACGGTATTAAACAAAAAAATAACTCTTCTTTCTCTTTTCCTCCTTCTTCCTGCGGCTTCGCAAGCACGTCTTATGGTTAGACATTTTAATGGACTATAAAACTACATAAAGATAAACTCGTAATATAAAAAATAAAACTATTGTAACCATAATATACAAAATAAACTGTTGTAAATTATAAAAATAAAAAATAAAACTGTTTTAAACTTAAAATAAAAAATAAACTGTTGTATGCGTAAAATTATGAAAATAAAACTCTTGATTGCGCCTCAGTTCCCAGTCCTGGTTCCTGGTCCTTCCCTCAGTTCTCAGTCCTGGTTCCTGGTCCTTCTTTCTTCCTCGCGGTCAGCCGCGCTCCCTTCCGCGGCTGTACCTCCGGTTGCATAATGTGATAATGATTTACAATCCCAGTACATCTGCTGTGACTTCATTCCAATCCCTAATCCATAGTCTTATACGTGCTTTAAGACTTATTCTATAATACACTATACGTTAAAGTCGGATATCAGAAGAAAGTCGAAAGTCCAATGAGATCATTTATTTTTCGAGAACGAGTTCTCATTAGATTATGGACTGTGTTCCGGCATCCAATAACGACATACAGCATATTGTAGAACAGGCTTTACTGATTGTTTGTGTTTTCCATAGAGATATAAGAATAGAGGGAAACAAGCCTGTAAGTGGAAGTCATAGAGGCAAAGAGAGAAATGGATGCCGAGTGTCCTATCTGTCTCTTTCTAGTCACGCGCTGGGATTGGCTGCCGCGCCAACGACGATATAGCTATACATTTTTCTCCATCCAACTCAAAGAAACTGTCATTGCTAAAATGATCACTGCAAATATATGCTGTTTTCACTTCAAAATACAAAAGTAGTTGAAGTATATTCAACCATTTACGCCTTATATCTACATCCTTCGGTAGCCTACAACATTTACATATTTTTTTAAATGTAGGAAAAAATAACTTATAATTATTTGAGGTTACGTATTTGTACTTTCTTACGAGTGAAAACTGCGGTTACATCCAGGATAAGACTCCGCCTTGCATTTCAAACAATGCCTCATTTTTAAACAAATCGCGTCAAATTATTATTTTGTTAACGTTCGAATATTTAACGAATTTTAATTTTACACGCATGTGCACGCATATTTACAAAACGAAATTTTAGTCTGCTTTCTCCCCTCCTGACGTCGCGTGGTCGCTTGGTGGCTCATTGTAACAACCAATCACAGCGCTCGACTAGAAAGAGACAGATAGGACACTCGGCATCCATCTCTCTCTTGACCTCTATCATTTCCACTTACGGGTAGCATATATCCATTGTTCCCTCTATTCTTATATCTCTATGCGTAGATGAGTGTGAATATGTTCTGGTGGTCATGAGCACGCTTACGAGGCCTTCGTTCATTTTGAACACACTTATTTTTTTTTATCTTCGCTGCCTAGGCAGCTTTATTTTGGCTTTTATCTTTGTATCGGATATTTTAACCTGCAAATGGTGTAAGAGGCTTGTAATTCAACGGCCCATAATCAAAAATAAGTGAATGAGTGAATACGCTACTTTCATCTGTTTCGCGCGTGTACTTGTTGCGCATATCGTGATTGATTATGACGGTCGAAGAGAAATTAAAAGAGTACAGGCGCAAGAAATATAAGGAGGAGATAACAGAATCTCTTAAAGCTGCTATCGGAAATGTGTTTCCGTGGAATCGCAATACTGAAACAGAGAAATCGGTTGAAGAATCGGCAGAGAAAAAGGAGGTGAGGTTATATCGATTACTCTCTAAATAACTCACCTTCGTAGAGATAATTGGTCTGTTATTTACAGCTGCACTGCTAAACTAGTGTAATAAGTTGAAGTGAGACAAGTATACATTTTCTCACATCAACTTATTGCACCAGATTAGCAATGCAGCTATAAAGAACAGACCACATATGAGTCCTGCCTTGTTGCCTTGGCAAAACGCAAATTTGGAACCCTATCTTTTCTCGTTATATTCATTATTCTCACTAATTTCTGGACCATCTCTAAAGGATATTAATATATTTATATCTATATCTTATTATCCTTGAATGCTATTAGGACCATATACTCTATTGAGTGACTTATAACCAATATTGAGGAAGAGAGAAAGAGAGAAAGAAAACATGAGTTTTAATAGGGTTTAAAAAGTATACTGAGAATTTTATTAAAATAATACTTCATGCATTTTTAGACTTTCTCAAAATTTTGTTACTTGTGTATGTGGTTTTTATGCATATATTTTGTTATATTACTGCAATGTATATATTTATATTTATATATTGCAGTAATATAACAAAAAGAGGAAAAAATGTGTAATTAATATAGAAAGGAGGAACGAATACTGTGTATGAAAAAAATTTGGCTTTTTTGTTACAAGGTTCAGTTATCCAAAGAGCCACAAGATATACAGGATATAGAAGATGATTTGGATATTTGGATGGAAAATAATACACAAAAGTCAGAAAATATAGTTATAACTAGAATAACTTATATATTATACTTCATATTGTGGATCATATTGTATATTATCGCAATAGAATATGAGTTTGGTGCTGTTTATTTTATATTGTCAACTTTAATATTTATTTGGTTGAATACTAAATCTGAGCCAAAGCAACAAGGTGAACTCAGTGCATATTCTGTCTTTAATCCAAATTGTGAAGCTATAGAAGGGACACTCGATGCATCACAATTTGAAAAAGAAATAAAATATGGAATAGGAGGAACTCGATAAATCAAAACAAATTAATAAAATTTATATGGAAGTCTGACTGTAAGTTAATACATTGTAATTTATCTAAGATCTAAAAATATAGTTGATTCCTTCGTTCCTTCCTTAAAACAGTTTAAGTATATTGTGCATAATGCAAATTGTGAATAGCTTCGCAATTTGAAAAAAATAGATGGATTAAACTGATATTGTTTGAATAAAAACATTATGTTTAATATAATTAGTTCACATCTAAATTTATATTTGAATGCTAATTTTTTAATATTTAATAATTTTTAATATTTATTTTAAAGCAAGTTTAATGTTCTAATTTTTAATTACAAATCTAAATTACACAATTTGATAGTTCTAAGGAAACATGAAATGTGATAAATCAAATATAGATATGTTAAATTATTTTAACATTCATAATATTATAATGATTATACTATATTATATATTGTAACAAACTGTACATATATGTTATATGCTAAGAATTATACTATATTAAAGTAGGGAACAAGATGCGTATGTGAGTGCGTGTTGCGCATATATGTGTGTGTTGCATATATACTTAATATTTATGGAGAGGTATATATACATGCATTTTTTATACGTATCTGTCAAATTATTATTGTCTTTGGGTGGACAATAATACAAAAGTGAGTCAAATGAAAATCTTTTTATATAATTTATAAATAAAAGTAATATACAACTATATCATTTTTCTATGTAGTCTCCATTGCGTTCAAGACATTGCGTTTTCCAACGCTTTCAAAATATATAGATTTCTCTAGAAAAAATTCTTGTAGTTGTATGCGCAGCTATTTATGCATTACCTGTTGCACCTCCTCATCGGACTTGAAAATCTATCCTCACACAACTTCTTTGAGGTGCCCAACGATGTAGTAATTACTGGGGAAGAGATCTGGTGGATATAGCGAATGTGAAAGACATTCAAAATGCAGGTCTTGGATGATTATAACTATTGCACAGGCAATATGGGGCCGAGCCTTGTCATGTCATTGAGCATTGTCACTGGTAACAAACTGCCAATTTGCAGGACAATGGCAATTAATGTGGTATTTCGAATTTTTATTGTAATTTTAAGATTTTCATTTGACCCATTTTTGTAATTTTTTAAATTAAGATAAAAAGCTAAGCAAGTGCCAAAATATTTTTATTTTTTTGCAGTATGCGAGCAAATTAAGATATAAACTAAACAATCGAATTTGTTTTAGTCCTTACGATGCATTATATTTTATAAATTCAATCCACTAAAAATTTTCGGAACATGCAAGATAAATACATCGAAAAATATATCAGGTAACCAAAAAATTTCATAGTTTTCGGTAGAGTTCGTTGCAATGAATTGCAGAGCTCAATGTTTTATGTGCGTCATAAGGCATAGATACACGTAAGTCAATCAGTGCGTTCTAACTTGATATATACTCTTTTTTTGTAGTTGCTTAATTTCTATTATGAAAAACCGCACGAACTTTTTTAGTTATATATTATCACAACGAGAATCTCATATCTTGTATCAAATAGATAAAATTGAATGGACAAAATTTTTATAAAATTTGTCATTTCCTGATTTCTTATTTTGCAAAAGCATATTTGAGTACGGCTTATTTATTTCTTTTTATTTTTCTTGTAAAACTTGTACAGCGTCTTCATAATACTTTATCATATTATTCAGGTAACTCAATGTATTGTTCGTAGATACTAGAGATAGTTTTCGAAACGTTGTTAAATCGGTTTTAGAGCGAAAACTTTCATCAGGACACAAAAGCGTTCTATCCAGATCCAAAAGCAGGTCATTCCATATCCTTACATGTAATGTCCTAGAATATTCTTTCATATATACTGATATAATCCTATATTCTTTGCAATATTGCGTTTCTGAGTAACTTTCTTAACAAATTTATCAACATATATGATAATATTATTTACTCGAAAGATAAGAGGCAATTTTAATAATAAATGAATATATAATATTATGATTATTATGCTTACTTTGTGTACGTATACTCCGTTGCATCAATTTTTATGTTGAGATCCTTTACAGCAGCTAGTAATATATTTAATGTTCTTCTCAATTTCTCTAAAAAGAAATAAGAAAATGAGAACAACACTCTGTCGTTTAGTTGAGGTTTTTTAGTGTTTTTCAGCAAATATTTTAAAAAACAAAAAAATACCCAGAGCGTCCTGAAGTTTGCCAGTATCAATTGATTCCAATATCCTATTAACGGTTTCATTGAAATATTTCGGCTCCCATTTAATAATTATGCTTTCAGATAGTCGCCATACAGTTTGAATAACCATTTGCGCTACAGTTACACCACGTAACCATGAAAGTGAACTTGAATCATGGAGAATTTGGTCTTGTGTAAGATTGCTTTCGGTCTGTAAAAATTATAGAAATCTGTAGAACACAAATATAATAAGCATATATGCAATGCTACTATATTGTCAAGTGAGAGAGGAGCCCTCGGAACTATGATGCGGAAATATGTATTTTCCTCTTTTTCTAAGTATATTGTGAACATAATGTGCATGCGTCGGATTGATCGTTTCCGCCAATAAAAAAATAAAATATTTTTAGCACGCGCGTGCGCGTGTGTGTATGTCATTGATCGCCGCATCTGTGGATTATGGTCAAAATACACACATCGGATATCGTCTGTCTTTCGGTTCTGAAATGGCTCTTTTTTATATAGGCAGCATAAAGCGATTAGCAATATAGTAGTATTACATATATGATAATAAACTTCACTGTTTAAAGCTCTAGAGTAGTCGCCGCGGCCATATTGGATTCGTAACGTTATAGATGAGAAATGATACGTTGAGAAATATTGCGTGCTATTTGTAAATAAAAAAAATGTTTGGATAAAACGACACTAGACATCGTTTGAAAACGTTTGTAAAAATGGACGAAAACTCTCCCTTTTCCTCCTAATAATTAATAAATAACCGTAAAAGGTACTTGAAATAAGGTCCTATTCATGTAGGAAAACATACGGTTTCTCAGGTGTTGAAAGGAGTGAAAAATATGTTCTTACGTATAAAATTCCAAGCTAATCTTTTTGTCTATTTTTACGGATTTGACAACTATGTTACAAGTTACATCTGCATAATTAAGTAAATAATAAAGAAATGACATGCAACATAAAATTTCGTTGTCAACCACTCTTCATGTATAAAAATGCGGCTTAGTAAGCGTTACAAATACTTCGAAGCGTTCCTCCTTCTTTTTCTTCCTTTATTCAAACTCAAAAAATTGATGAAAGAGAAATATTTCGAAATATTTATAGCGCTTGCTGGACATACTCTTTTAGTTCATCCTTTTGTTGTTCTGAACTGTGGCGCAAACAGATTTCGAGCAGAGTCTGCTACAAATTTTTGGTGACAGAAAAGCAACAAATCTAACAAGGGAACTGACCCTTACCGATTTTTATGAACTTGAGATATGTTGTAGAGCGTTAAAAAAATACTAGACTCGTATTTTTTTTAGCGGCGTATCTTAGGAATTGAAACCTCTCGAATAAAATTAATTTTTAAAAATTTTTAGTGAATATCTTCAAAAATATAAGATATTAGATGGAAAAATATTTCCTACAAAAGTTTTATAATATTTTACACTTTTTATAATAGTGTATTTACATTTTTTAAAAAGACTAATTTTTTTCATCACCCATTATTTTTGCAAAATTTAAAAATTTTGTGAGGACAAACGTTAAAGAGCATTGCATGTCGAATCCATCCATATATAATAATATTATGTTTCTGTTACGACTCAATTTTTGAAAAAAACGAGATAACCGTCTTATTAGCACCGCGAATGTGTTATTTCTTTTCAGTTGCTCTGTATTCACTACCTACCTCTTATATAATTTTTCACATGCTACAACATAAATATGAAAATAGAATAATTGTAATGGCATAATATAAAACGTATTATATGAAATAAAGATGTAAACATTACAGGTGTATAACAATAATAACACAGGCCGACAAAACATTTTACCAGAAACCGGAATATACTATCCCGAAGGTTTTTGACTCGCTGAATTCAAATCTGGCCTCAAAAATGCTCGTTTGGCTCAGGTTTCCGAAATATTATAACCTAAATGTGCAAAAAACGCGATTTTAGCCTATATTTGAGGTCATGCAGCATGGAGAAAACTTTCTTTTTCAAAAAACTGTTCAAAGTATCTCAAAGTATAGGTCTCAATCTTTCAAATGCCGTTGAGCTTGCTCAAATATCTGTTTTTGTCGGCGATATATGCTATTTAAAAAATTTCAAATTTAAATTCATGCAATTTGAAATTTAAAAAATTTCAAATTTAAATTCATGCAATTTGAAATTTTTTAAATAGCATATATCGCCGACAAAAACAGATATTTGAGCAAGCTCAACGGCATTTGAAAGATTGAGACCTATACTTTGAGATACTTTGAACAGTTTTTTGAAAAAGAAAGTTTTCTCCATGCTGCATGACCTCAAATATAGGCTAAAATCGCGTTTTTTACACATTTAGGTTATAATATTTCGGAAACCTGAGCCAAACGAGCATTTCTGAGGCCAGATTTGAATTCAGCGTGTTAAAAACCTTCGGAATAGTATACTCCGGTTTCTGGTAAAATGTTTTTGCCAAATTTTGTCGGCCTGTGTAATAGTAACAATAGTAATAGTAACAATAGTAACAACAGTAACACTAGTAATAGTAATAGTAACAATAGTTCCTTCATATTACCATTTGTTTCGGTCGATGCAGCATGGTCTTTCTAAGTAGCACTTCAGTTCTTTCGAAGATATAAAAAAATAGCTTGATGACTGGATCGCCTCGAAAGAACCTGAATTTTTTTGCCGCGGAATTGTTCTTCGGAAGTTACAATCTTTTCACACTTTTCGAGTAACATATGGGTTCTGCGGCAGAAAAATTCAGGTTCTTTTGAGGCGATCCAGTCATCAAGCTATTTTTTTATATCTTCGAAAGAACTGAAGTGCTACTTAGAAAGACCATGCTGCATCGACCGAAACAAATGGTAATATGAAGAAGCAACGTCTGGTGAATAGGACGGGTGAAGTAAGACATTCCATCCAAGTGCCTCCAAGATTTCCTTCACTGGTGTTGCAATATGTGGTTTAGTATTGTAATGGAGAAAAATAATTGTGGCATGTCATTTGGCGTATTGCAAGCGTTTTTTTTTGAGTGCTCGATTTAAATTGAGTAATTGTTGTCGGTAGCGTTCAACATTGATGGTTTGACTGCAGTTCATAATATATTACACCGACTTGATTCCACTAAATACACAGTTTCCTTCCATGACCTTCTTTCCATGAATATTCTGTCTTGGCGTTAATGTTAATGGTTCGCCGGGACGCACCCATGATTTCTTGTGCTTAGGATTATTGCAACGAATCACTTTTTCATTGCCAGTCACAATTCGATGCAAAAACGACTCCCGTTTTTGTCTTTAAAGCAGCAATTCACAGATGGTTAAACGTTTCGCAATGTCTCTTTCTCTCAATTCATGTGGGATCCAGTTTCCTAGCTTCTGGATCATTCCCATTTTAAATGTTTGCTAACGGTTGACTCATTGACATTTAGGGTTTCCGACAACTCTTGGAGCGTCTGACATGAATCTTCTTCCAGTAATACCTCCAATTCTCATCTTTAAACTTTTTCGGCTGACCAGGGCGCTTTTTGTCATTTACGTCAAAATCGTTGTCTTCAAATCGTCTAACCAATCTCTGCATGTTGTTTCAGATAGAGTATGCTCCCCATAATCCTCCATTAGCAAACGACTTTGAGAATGACTTTGACAATGACTTTCAGCAGCAGATTTCTTAAGTTGAAAACAGAAAAGTAATACTTTCCGCAATTGCTCTTTTTTGATACGAAACCCAACATCTTCAATCATGCAATAAAAAATTGTATTCTTTGCACTACGATTTAATGTCACATACTGATTATTAAAGCCTATTGACAGTACTTTCATATACATCAACAGTCACTTTTGGCCATGTTGAAATAGCACAACTACTAACCTCTATTAGTCAACAGCAAGAATTAATTCAGGCACCTAATATAAAGTTATAATGTAATAATATGTAAAAGAATATTGTAAAGTAAACAATAAATTAAAAAAGAACAGAATACACAGAGTATACAGAATTTATATGTAAACTAAAATAATGCACGTGTTACATTTATAGCATATATTCATTACAAATGGTGTTCGTGGAAAAAATATTTTATATAAAGCGATTTTTTACACCAAGAACATGTAATTATAGTCACAAATATCGCATTTTACTTTGGAAACATTTTTAAAACAAAAATCTACTGTTACTTGAAATTCTATTGGTGTAATCTGTATATGTCCACTTTTGAACCACGCATATTTAAATAAATTTTGAAACCTGCGATGACAATTGATGATATGTTAATAATTGCAATTTAAAGATATTATTTCTAGCACGAAGATCAATTGCAAGATCTAACAACATAATACCAGAAGAATGTTTAATAAAATTTTTCCATAGTCGGAAGCCGTACATATCTAATAATAGTTTGTGACGTGATGGCTTAAACGCCCGTCACAAGAGGCAAATGCCTTCGAAGAAGTCTTATCGTGGGGGGGGGGGGGGAGGAGGTGCGCTCCTCGTGAGGGCGTGATTTTTCTTTTTTTTTCTTTCGGCGAAAATTAGAGTGTAACGAAGACCGCGTATTTTCGTTGTGCGTGTCCTCGTGAAGCGAGTCTCGCGTCTCCCAAGCGATGTATCACCACGCTTCCTATGGCGGCGAGAAAAGGAGGAGGAGCAGGACGCGGAGCGCCGAGATTCTACCGGCTAAGCGGAGAAGTAGCGATAGCACGACACCGGGGGCTCACACAAGGTGACTCCCTTTACTCTTTCTTGCTACCGGAACCTGGTATCGAAACAGCCTAAGCTGTAGTATTTTGTCGTTTCCAGCGGTAGAGCCGGCGAGCCGAGAACGCTTCAAAAGACGGCTCGATCAACAAGCGGAAGTCCCGAAGTCGAGCCGAGCTACCGAGGCACGAGGAGGCGAGACGGCGGATCGAGGAAGTCAATCGGCCGCCGTCGGCAAAAATCAGGCTGCCGGAAAAGGACGAACTTGGAGAACAAAGGAGAAGGGGAACCCGCATATTACCTGTGAGTCCGCCGCCTGGCTAAAGCTTTTTCTCCTTGTCTTCATGCGGATTCTCCGTTTTGTAGCGATAGCGGTAGTTGATGCGAGCATTCGAGAGCTAAAAAGAAAGAGCAGGAGATAGAGAGGGAGAGATAGAGAGACAGGACGGAGGACGTATGAGCCCGAGAAGACGACGCATTACCGGAGGACCCAGGAAGCCAGCCGCCAAGAATACCGATCTGTAAAACCGTCTATCCGCATCTCAGTAATATTTATCGCGGGGATCGTCTATTCGGTCGACCGCCGTGCAGCGTATCCGACAGACTTGAGGGAGTTGCGATATCGCGAATCAATATAATATCCATCGGTGGTTGCATCGGAGTCGCGCCGGGGAATCCATCCGTGCGTGTACTGTCTCGTTCCGTCCTCTCTATCTGGGTTCGGCTGCCACTCGATAGTTACGTTGGTCACCCTACCACGCGAGTCCTACGAAAAGGTCTACGGCGAGACCTTAAATTGTAATTTGACGCGCCATCGTTTTAATGCATTTTGTTACTGCAATCGGCCTAAGATCATAAAGGCGAACCACTGATTTATCTCAACTTTTGGTCTTGTGATTTCGCTCCCCATCTCGGCGTGACCAAGTGAACTCTCGCGCCTCCGACTTAAAACACCTGAGAGCTACCGGTTCCGTTCGGGACGGACCTCGAACGTGAGAAAAGACGTATCGAATCCAAAACCCATAGAGACTTCGTCGATCATTTATCCTTTTGTGGCTGTGGCAAGTCCACACCTGGCACTCATCCTTTTCTTTATCTTTGAGTGTTGAGAAGTCGCTCTCGCGTCCCGGGCTTCGCCCGGCGGTATTTGCACCGGCAATTCGGAATCGAGAAATCGATCGCAAGTTGTACTGGCTGAAATTGTTAAGAAAATAATATCCGTTGCAGAATTTGGTCTAGTTTTTGCAATCATGTTGGGACAATGTCCACTCCATGAATCTAATAATAAGACTGATTGTGGTCTAATATTTGGGAGAAATATTTTTTTTAATGAAGTTTTTACGTAATGTAATGTAATCAATTTACCTGATTTTGAAACCATAACAAAAATATTAGGCGCGTTGAATAATGTTCCTTGCACTTTGGGACCAATCTTTATCCTACATCCTCAGTTCTATTGCTCATATCCGGATATGGTGATTTCTCTCTCATATGTCTGTGGTGCGCACATTGATCATATACAAGCATATGGTACCTACAGTTTAACGCCGGTCCCGAACAGCATATTAGAGAAGTTCTCTTGGCAAAGATACTCTCGGTAGAGTTGCCGCTTTTTTCCGAGAGGAGACACAAGCGTAAATATTTTGGTTTCTATCGGGATCTAACCCGGGATCGCTAGCATAGCAGACTAGTGCGCAGTTTGCTTGCTACGCTCGCGCTCTTTACGACCAAACATTTCTGTAAATTCTTTTAATACGATGAAAAAGGCGATAATAATCTATCATCAACGGAAATAGTCGATTATATAGTGTAATTTCGTTTCTGAAGCTTTGAATTCTGGTGCATTTTCCTTGTGTTCAAGAAGTCCATCGAGCGATGTCAATGTGAATAATTATTCCTTTTTCAAGTGCTTTATTGAAATGATTTAATGTGTATCCAAAAATTCGTTTTAATTTTTCAAATCTACTACCACCTTCGTTGATTTGATTCTCCCATCGTCATATTGATATAATCTCAATCTTGTTTTACCGCTCCTCTAGTACTCCCCAGCTGCTCCCCAGCATCTTTTATAATCACTCGATATTGTTGCCTCAACGGAATTACAAACTTCTTCCGGAAGATATTTTTTATCTTCATGTTCCTCTGATAAATCAACTTTTTCCTCGCGGAATCTTATACGCATTATAAAAATCTGAAGTTTCTTCTTCTCCCAATTAAAATTTTTTACCGTTTTGAATTTTTTCTAAACTATGTTGGATTTTTCTCTTACTTTAACTTCCTCCGAAGTTATCGAATTTTATGGAAAGTTGAAAAGTAAAAGTTACGTAGAATAACATTACGCTGTATAAATTAAACTACACTATTCTGAAAAATATTAAAATTATATTTTTGTCACGAACTTTGATTATACAAAAAATAATACGCACTTTACAATTAATGGAATGGTCTTCTTCAGTTAATTCAGACACTGCTTTTTTTCTTCTCTCTTTATTAATAACAAAGATGTGTAATAAAGCCCAAAATGAATTAATTTATCAAAACGGAATAATAATTCTGCGTTTTATATGTGTCATGGTAATAGGAAGCTATATAAAATAGTGGAACAAATATTTTAAAATTCGGAGTAAGCAGGAAAAATTAACATTATTAACTAAAAATAATTTTAGTAAGTAGTGAATCAATTTAATACATAAAAATTAGAGAATGACATGAAAGTTCTCGATTTTTATAATTCGAATAATATCAAAGCAAAGTGACAAGCGTAAGAAAGTAATAAAAATTAATAAATACTTGCTTGTTCACACAAAATGACAGATTACAACGCACAGTTTTTTAAATTAACAACTTATGAGATGAAATACTAGTTTTCCGATATTGCGGGCGCTTATATATTGACTATATTATACAATATGAACTAATGATCCTAATCGAAAATACATTTCAGGCTTATAAAAGCTAAATGCAAAATAAAAGTACGTTAATGTAAAATAAATGTAATTATTTATACAAAAATACCAATGTTACAAACATTTCGCGCTCCTTCAGACTTTTTTCAATGTAATAAATACAAATAAAAAAATGTTTGATACTGTATTTGATCCTATTTTGTTAAATTGACCGAAATTTCCGTATGTCTCTTAAATTGTATTTGTTATATTGAAAAAGATCTGTAGGAAATCGAAACGTTTATAAAATTGATATTTTTATGTAAGTGATTTTCTCAGTAACGTGCCTGTATCTTGTATTTAGTTTTTATGAGCCTAAATTATACTTTTTATTACACATAAAAAAATCTTAATCTTTAATTTCGTCTAATGAATTAATTCTAATCTTATGGACACGATACTCAAATGATACTATACATAACACGTGAAATTTAGTGTTTAGGGGTTAGGCCAGTCTAGAGCCCTCAAAAAAGGCCTAACTTTGACAATTTATTCTGGGAGTAAGGAAAAAGGAATCGAATTTCTCTCTTTCAGGCTTTATTAAACATGTATTTGAGTGTATAAAAAAATTTTTATATTGACATTTTGATACAAAATGGCGGCTACTGGGCCAATCTTCGGAATCACCTTTTTCAAGAGGGCCTCTACGGGCGACGGTGATTCTAGGAACTCGTGCTATCTGAAACAAAATAAAGAACGGGATTTAATCTACATAAGACTTGCTAGTAAAGTACGTATGTTTTTAGCTTTACATCAATTTTTCGCAAAATGGCGGACTTGTAAAAAAAAGGTTCAATTTTTGACCGAAAAAATGAGCAGTAAATTGTTTATAAAAAAAAAGTTGCAATGATAACAAAAAAATCACGTAGTTTACTAGATAATGTTACTGTGAAGCTACAGTTAAAATTTCAAGTGGATACGTGCGATAGTCTCCGAGTACCATCTTCGTCCGATTTGAAAAATGCAGTTTCGAGAAAAACGCGTTTAAAGTTTTACGTGCTGGAAATTTTGTTATACCTTCAGTCTGCGATGCCTGCGCCGTACATTTCACCTTCCATGGACACGTGGAACTCATCTTCTTCCTTTCTGGATGCCTTCTGTTCGATTCCAGACCTTCTTGCAGCATCTGAGAGCGAACGATCGGATAATTTGATGCGGTTTTGATCAGTCTCTTGACAGTAATTGTAGCAGTTCGGCCCAATTTTGATGCCTATGTTCTGCATGACTCTCATGGCACTTGTGAGGCCATCATTATAAGTACCTGCAGCAATATATACAGCTGTGTCAAGTACATTTTTGCCACTGGATGTCACTTTCGGGGCCATCGACCATACTGTAGCGTTGAAACTCTCATTACTGTTTTGAGTAAAGCCGCCTATGCAACGAGTGAGTAGGTCATCACTGGTTAATTTTTCATAAATTGGAGTTATAGCCTTGTATACTTCTTCATGTAAAGGTGGTTTATGTGTATATTCGTCCAAAATTCCAGTGGCCTTGGCTCTTTGCCACGAGCACCACGAATTTTCTCCGCTTTGGATTTCCGTCCTCTTTTGCCTTTTTGCGCCGAATAAACTGGCTTCTTGTCATCACTCATATTGTTAACAATGATAGTTTATCAGTAAAAACCACTGTAGTCAATAAAGTAATTCGTTGAAGCAGAAAAACTAACGAAAACAAAAAGAAGCGTCCACGCGTGGCGTCGTTTTTCAGCTGACTGACCCACACACAAGCCCACACATACAGCTGTATTGATGAACTAGCACTTCCTAACGACCTTTTGGGGAACCATTAGAGCCCTCAGGCCCCGTTGGTACATTGGTGCAGAGGGTAAGAGTCGTCAAAAGGGGACAAAAGGAAGCCCGCCGCGGCAGGTAGAAAATGCGCTCGTCGCCCGCTTCGAACGCTTCAACACTACAGCGGATTGGACAGGGAAAAAATTTTTTTTTCACTATTCTACCAATCGAATAATGTTTTTAGGACCCTAAAGTGTACTTTAAGTAAAAAAAAAAAATTTCGATTTTTTGAAAATCCTAGACTGGCCAAACCCCTTAAATAAATACATTGTTTATTTTGTTCGGATTTAATTAACGCATCCTGTATATTTTCCTTAAGAGAATCCCAAGTTTTCTTTCGATGAAAATATGTTTTTTCCATGTGATCGTTTATCGAGGCGTAATCTAAGATATCTCAAATGTTCGGCCTGCGGAATCTGAATTTTGTTTACCTTAACAGATGGGCAGATTAAGTATTTCATGGTGAAGATGACGTGGCCTGATTTATTTTCATTTGCTTTGATTCTCCATTTTTTAAGCCAATCAGATATATTGTTTTTAAACTACATTGCAAGAATAGAGAAACCAATGAAGGGTCTTCATGAATGTCCAGGGTTACTGTGTCATCAGGAAACGTTCCAATAGCAATAGTTTTATCTGTAGATAGGTCGGCGTAAAAAGTAAATGGAGAATCCAAGAACGGTCAAAGAACGTTTCTCTGGGCATTCCAGCCTGAATTTTGTAGAGTCCTCTCTGTGTTGTTCTATGTTTAACCTTTTGGTTGCCAGCGGGCCGACCTTTTGGGCCGAACTTTCGGTCCGCGGTACGTATGCGAGAACTGCCACAGGCTGATGCATCGGCTCCATGTGTTTACATTCAGATTATCGCGATCAAATCGACTTTGGCAGTCTTCGCATATACCGCGTAGATGGGCCTGGCAATAAGAGGGTTAATAAGAAATTTGTGATTTTTTAGATTAGACTTGAGGAGGGTGTAAAAGTTATTTGGAAGGTTCTGCTTTATTTTGTATAGGAGTTCTTCATGTCATACTCAATCAAATGTTTGCGAGATATCTAGGAAAACAACTGAATAGATTTTTTCCACTCGAGAGTATGGTGAATATTGTTCTATGTACCTATTCAACGAATCTGTGTACCTATTCAACGGTGCTGTGTTTCTGGCGAAAACTGAATTGATGATCAAGAATAAGGTTCCTTTCCCCAATATACGTATTATCCTCAGAAGAGATTCCAGGACTTTAGTTAAGATTGGAAGGAGGTTGATAAGTCTATACGATTTAGGATCGTTAGAGCTCTTACCTGGCTTGGAAATCATTTTTACCTGGACAACCTTCCAGGAGGAATAAAGCTCATTCTCATCATAGCATTGTAGATTTGTGTTAAATAAGTTATTCCTATTTCCGGTAGTTCTTGTAGAATTCGACTTATAATTGAGTCATAATCCAGGGTTTTTTAATGTTCTGGTGGCCCTTCATATGGGTGAGAAAACCTTCATTAGGTGTTCAGCGAATGTTGTGGCTTTTCTTTATCGTTTCGGGTCTATATTCCATTTTGTCGACGTAAAGATAGGAATGCAATTTTAGGTTGCTTTAGTTCCCTTGTGGTCTTCCACAGAGAGTAGTTGGTAGCGACTGTAGTATCAAACATCTGCAAGAAAGTTTGCATCTTTGTATTTTTTTCATTGAATAGAAGACTCTTGAGTTTCCTGGTAATATAATTTAATTTAGTTTTTAGGTGAGGGCACCTAGTTTGCTTTCAAAGTTTTCGTATGCGTATTTCTTCAGATATTTTATCTAATATAGTCTTGGATAACTGTAACTTGACTTTAGTGCTCTCATTTATTGGTGTGGAATCCCAAGCCGCATTTTGTACAGTAGTAACAAAGCTTTCTATTTGTTTCGACTATATCATTCTCAGTCTTTAGTTTTATATTAGTGTTAGGAATATTATTAATCAGGTTCTGGAAATGATCCCAGTTTGTTCTTTCGTATGTAAGATGCAATCTTTAAGCATTGTCATTATTTCCTCTAGTAAAATAACAAGCACAGTCGTATGGTCAGATAACATTTCCAGGGAAGTCTCATTTTTTATAATTGATTATTAATTATTGGAAATCTCTTGGTTACGCAGAAATCTGTCAGGAGTTTTCCCTCTGTCCAATGGCCAGTAAGCGAGGTGGCCAGAAGATATAATTCAAAGTCCTAAATTTTCAATGGATTTAAAAAGTTCCTTTCGTTAACGAAAGTCTAGGACCTCAGACGAAAGTCTAGAACCTCTAGGTACTTCAGTACGTTTTAACTTTATAATTGTTACCAGCAATGAAACAGCATTCGCTGAACACCTAAGTTTTCCAGAGTTAAAAAAAATATATTTCTCTTTTATGTTATGCTTTAGTAGACAGTACAGTTGTTATAGTGACAGGAGCAAGTCTTCTATTAGGTTGGTGCGTATGAAATGTCGGATTTTTAAGTGAATATATAAAACTGCATATCTTTTTTCAAAAGTTGTTTATTTAATCAAAACATGCTCCATTTGCTTGAATACACTTTTCCCAACGAGATTTTAATGCATAAATGCCTGTCTTAAAGAAATTCTGACCTTTGGAATCAATAAACTCTGATATGGAATTTTTCAGACTGTCTTCATTTTCATAGTGTTTAGCCCGTAAAAACAGTTCTAAATGTTTAAAAAAATGAAAGTCGGTTGGCGAAAGATCTAGTGAATAAGCTGGGTGTTGCAAAATTTTATATTTTAACTCATATAATTTTGCAATCGTTTTGTACGACTTATGCGGTCGAGCGTTGTCGTGAAGAAGTATTGGGCCATGCCGATTAATAAGTGATGGGTGTATAATTTTCAATTTTTTATGCATTTCATCAATGTACTGGCAATACTTTTCGGCTGTAATTGTCTCCCCAATTCGAAGGAATGAGTAGTGAATTACTCCAGTACTACTTTTGAAAAAAATCTTCTTTGTTAAAATATGACTGGCAATGGACAGTACGACTGTAAAAGAGGTTATGCCAAAAACAAAAGCATAATGAAAGCAGAGAGACAAACGTTCACATGTAAAGAAAATCCGACATTTCATATGTACTAATCTAATAGTACAATTGTTGTTTAGATTTGCTCTTCCTGAAATGAATTGGTTTGATAATATTTAATTTTATTTTTGATGAGTACTGCTAAGCCTTCATATCCCTTATAGAAATTTTATATTGAGGATTTCTAAGAAATTTGCAGTGATTAAATACTGGCAGTATTTCAGTAATTATTTGCCTAATATTTAATTATTAGTCATATATAACATATAAGGTCTAANCAGTAAAAAGTAATCCATTATTTTTGTATCAAATTGGAGGCTTTATTTAACATAGTTACAATGTTCCGATTTAGGTCAAATATACACCGTTTTGTTCGACAACTTTTTGCCATTTCGAAGGTAATTTCATCATGCCTCTCTCATAGAAACCCCCGTCCCTATTGGCAAAAAACTGGGAAAGTCGATTTTCACAAGCTTCCCCTGAGGCGAATTTTTCACCAGCAAAAAAATTCGCCATAGACAGGAACAGGTGGTAATCACTTGGTGCCAGGTCCGGACTATAAGGTGGATGCAAAAGAACCTCCCAATCAAGCTCCCGGAGTTTCTGGCGAGTCACTATCGATGAGTGTGGCCTTATCCTGATGGAACACAATTCCACTCCTATTGGCCAAACCTGGCCGCTTCTGGGCGATTGCTTCCTTCAGACGGTCCAATTGTTGACA